TATTTTTATTTACATATTGTTTGTTAATATTTTAAGATTATGTTGTTGTTGTTGTAGCGGCTACTAAGCCCCGTTCGGGACGGTTCATCCATCATCGTTGTCGTCTATTTCAGGACAGGGGCTGCCCAAAGGGACAGGGGCGTTAGCTGAGTGGGATTCTCAGGGCATGTGAAGAGGTGCCGGGAGTCATGTGGCGACTCTCCACATGCCGGGCATTGGTTGGGCACATCCTCGTTGATTCTGCTCAGGTAGCTGTTGAGCCTGCTGCAATAGCCAGATTATAAAAGTGTCAGTGTAGATGCATTGACCTGCAGAGGCTCGCGTAGTATTCCATAACGTAATCCAAGCTCTTTACTTTCTACAGTTTTTTTTTCATGTTTATTTTTTTGGTTTATCTAATTTTCCAATTCAAAATGTTTCTAGGCACAAGTTACCACTGCGAATTTTCTCGATTGCATGTTNTATAAAAGTGTCAGTGTAGATGCATTGACCTGCAGAGGCTCGCGTAGTATTCCATAACGTAATCCAAGCTCTTTACTTTCTACAGTTTTTTTTTCATGTTTATTTTTTTGGTTTATCTAATTTTCCAATTCAAAATGTTTCTAGGCACAAGTTACCACTGCGAATTTTCTCGATTGCATGTTTTCGAGTTTTGGCGTGAAAATTCCGGTACGCATTCCCAGAAAGTTCAAAATGTGCTGGGTGCAATAGCGATAGATATTGAATATGGGGGTTTTGAGCCAGATCGGTATGAGTTGCAAAAATGTATTAATTACGTTTAAAAAAAAAATTGCATTGTTTTGGCAAAGATCCAAACGCCAAAAATCAGCAGTTTTGAAAAATCATTCTAATTGGCTCGAAAAGAAAGAAATAATTTCATTAAAATGTCAACCAACAGTTTCCACCAATTAAAATCGTGGGCGTCCGAAAATAGATTTTGTTGAGTCTTGAAAAAGGACTAAGCGTCGCCGAAAATATCGGGATACAATTTTTACAATTAAGGTCTGTTAAGAGTAAAAACTGTAATATGTAAAAGTGGACGGGGTTGGACACGCCCACATACAGTCATGTGAAAAATAATAGGGACACGACATTGTGACCAGTTTCGGCTATTTTTCTTTTGTTTGTTTAATGCTAATTTTTTTTTTTATAAAAACACAACTCACTGTCTAACCAAAACCCATATAAGTCCAAATTTCAAACTTTGTAAAAAAAAATAGAAAAATACAACAAAATTTTAAAACAACACCAAACTTTTGAATAAGAACTTTTATAAAAAACCTAAGTATGCAGTTTTATAGCCCACTGAATTCTAGCTCAAGAAAAATGCAAGTTTCAAGTGCTTATGTGAGATCCCTGATATGGGGATTTCCGGGATCGACCTGACGAAGGTTGTCAGGCTCATCGGCTAGGACAGCCGCTTCCGCACGAAAATCCGGACGGGGATACGAAATACATCCCGCTGGGATGAAGCGAGCTGCAGCAGCTACTGCGTGAACGTCGGTGGGTATGGGTAGGGCAGTGAAGGTGCTTTCAGTAACATCCTTTCCAGTCAGCTTCGGAGAAGTTAACACAGGTCCGGTGATCCGCGGAAGCACAGTCGACAGCATAGGCCGCCATGATACGCTGTTTATTAGGCCAGCGCTGACCATTGTTAGGTCAGGCGAGCTGCAGCAACTGCCCGTAATCTTGGTGCATGCATCGTCGTTCATTGTGCAGAATGTCGAATCGTCTATCTGCTCAGCCAAATGTGTTCCCCTAAGATTATTCGACAAGCTTGAATGCCAAAGATCATGGTGCGCGTTAAAGTCGCCAACTACCATACGGTTTTCACCTCATTGTAGCATTTTTGTGTGCCTTGGGAGACCAATTGTGATACGGGGTGTTAAGGAGTTGTGTTGCCTGCCGGCCCCCTGCTGTATGTGCTTCAGACGGTGTGGTGGTGGGCGTCGTCGCGGGGGAAGTTTGCAACTGGGCAGCACAGCAGGGCTCCACGTAGTCTCTCGTCCAATCACGCGTGTTGCGAAGTCCGGAGCATGCCCTAAAGTGGCACCAGCCACGGCAGGAGTTGTACTTGACTGATGTCACGTTACGGTATATTCTGCACTGACGAACCGAGCAGATTGTCGGAGGGACTAGGAGTTGCAGGCGGCGGTGTGTGGGTGTTGTTGTGTTCGTTAGTGTGTCTATTGTTGTGTTATGTTGCGGTGTGGGGGTGTTGGTGTTGTGCTGCTCAGGCGAATGGCGGTTTGCCGTGGAAGCGGTCCGATTCGCGTAGCATGGGGCCACGAACAACGAGGTCCATTGCCGGTGCGTACGTAGGCAAGAGCAGGTGCGGAGATGACTCCACCCGTCACAGGTGTTGCACCTGACCTACGTGGAGTTCGCATGCAGTCGTCTCTGGCATACGCAGAAGGTGTAAATTTATGGCCCTGGGTTAGACTCTATGCCAGCCCTGAGTAGAAAAATACGGAACAGATGTAGCCCAACGGTCGAAAAACGTTTGATGGATTTCGCCGACCTAAACCAGGTTAGATGGTCGAAACGTAGAACCGGCTGTAGCGACTACAACAACCCCGCCCAGATCGGTTAATCAGTGCCACCACGGAATCCATCGTAGAAAATCTACGAATTCAAATGCTCGCTACGAATACGAAAAAATTGCTATCACTGAATCCGAGTGAACTCGAAAATATCGTTGCCAGCTTCGAATGCTGATTCGAAATCAGTTAGTGCAAAGGAAAAAAACAGACATTTCTGTATGTCATTTTGCTCACGCTGTCCCATCAGGCGCAATGGCCGAGTGTGCAAAGCACTAGACTGCCAATTGAGAGAGCCGAGTTCGAGTCCGAGTCGTGGGGCAGTGGAGATTTTTTTTTTTTTTTGATTTAATTTTTGTTTATTTTTTTAATAAATATTTTTTTTTAGTTTATTTTTAGATTAGATTTTATTATTTTAAATAGAAAAATATCTTTTTATTTAATAAATTTTTATATTAAAGTAATTAGGTTTATTTCCTAATAAATTGTTGCTAAACTATTATTTCCTCGATCCATACAAAATATTAATTTATTAAATAGCGTCTAGCAGATGAATGCGTGTATGTACATAAGTATGTATGTATGGCATTGGTATTTTACGCCTGCGTTTACACAAATATATGAAATTATATCAAACTATAACAAATTTGGAGTATAATAAATATTTAATATTAAAAATAATGCAGCTTTCTTCCCCTATTTTTAAGATTGAGTGATTTTAAATTTTGTTCCGACAGCATGATCTCGTCGTAGAGTATCTGTACGAATCTTCACTACGTACGGATTCAATGAAGACTACGAATTTCGAATTTACGTTCGTAGCCATTCGGATTCTGTGATAGCACTTTCGTAGATTTCACGAAAATCGAAGCTACGATGGGTTCTGTGATAGCCCTGAATATCTCAGTCGTTGTCGTCAAGCTCCACTAACGGAAGCCCCAGGAAGCGTGCAGGCTCAATGGCCTGGTCCAATGGTCCACAGGGACATAGGCGTTAGTGTTGTCGCAACCCTGGCTGAAACACTTTGGTGTTCGCACCGAGACAATATTTACCAATATTTACATTACTTACACCAAAAATATCACCCTGTAAATATTTACATTATTTACAAGTAAAGAATTGTAAATAGGGTATTCACAGTTTTCTTGTAAAGTTAAAAGGTGGCATCTTTAACAAGATAACACACTCGAACTGTGAGCACATGTGTTTCAAATTGTCAATAAAACAAATATAGTCATATATATATTTATAAATCTTTTAAATTGCGCCCACCTTATGTTTTTCTGCTCCACTTTCCATTTTTTCTTAGCGCGAATAATTAGCTGATCAGAGATGCCAGTTTAACACAAAACAAAACATGAGACAAAGTCGAGTAATTTTGCCCAAAGGGGTTATCTCTAATTAGTATGGGAACAAACAACAAATAAAGTTACCACATGGTAAAATGTTTTAAAGTTACCAGGTGGCAAAATTAACACAGTAGATAATATAGAACTGTGAGCACCCTAAATATAAATATTTTACATGCACAACGCTGCTTCTCAGCCACTATACTTGGTTTTAATTCCCAGGTAAAATCACTATTAACAGGTCTATTCTGCACTGGTAATAAAAGTTTTGTAACCGGTAAATTAAGTTCCTGTCATATTGTAAACCCTTTTCGAATTCTGTGTACCCTTGTAAGCGGTAAATTTTGTTACCATCTCATAAGCTGGTAAATCTTTGGTAAAGTGCAGAATAGACCTGTAAGTAAAAATCTTGCTCTTTAACATCTGCTCTCATTGCTATGTCAAAGTAATTGTAATATTACTTTTACTTTTACTTATTCTGTAAGAATTGCTAATTCATAGACAAAACTAAATAAATTAATAAATGAAAATACCAAGAACGCATGTGCATTAGACTGACTAGAAATAAATGAAAGTGCATATTTTTTTGATGCTCTTGATTTTTTAGCTTGCATTATGGCTAAAAACTATCCCCTGAAAATTTTGTGCAAAAATATAACAGGTCTCGCGTGGACATTTTGTGTTCCGCCTCAAGTGCTTAAAATTACTCTTCCTTCAATTCGTGCGAAAATTTAAGTTTTTAAAGGCCTTACAATATATTTTCAAGGTCGCTGAACATGTTGGGGGGGACAATTTTTCGATCTGATCTCACTACGATAATTCATTACTAATGGATTCAGATCACTACGAAAATTCATTACTAATGGATTCAGTCACCCTTATTATGAGTTGCATTCAATACGGGTGGATGAAAAAAATTTGGGGGCATTTGTTTTCGGGCGAAACTCACGATAAGGGGCAATAATGTCACTACGAATGAGTGAAAAACTATCGATGATGGCGGAAAAACATCGATACTATCGATAGTGCCATCTATTATTTTCCATCTCTACTTGTAGTGGTAATAAATAGCATGCATTTACATATTTGTTTCGTCAACTTGCTACCGGTAACTACAGCAAAATTGCAGCAGTTTTGTTAGCCGGTCGTACATAATAAAGCGACAATTAATTATTTCTTAAGGTACACATCGCTGCATCTAACACATCGCATACAAGCATTTAAACATGGAACAAGTCAGACACGCGGTACTAAGAATGCGCGACTTCACAACTAATTATCGCGCGACTAATAAAAATATTTAGTTGAAGTGAGGTGACAAGTGAACAATGTTTTATGAAAACTCATTTGTGGGCACATTTCTGATATGTATATGTACTCTCAATTGTACACAGTCTGTTTCAGTACTCCAGGATTTAGTCTGAAATAGTCAGCCAGTTATTACTGAAGATATTATAAATGTGTGAGCGGAAACGACTTTTGACGAAATCCTGCACCACTAGAACAAACCAAGTATTTGATTTTTACTGAAAAAAATACAAATCTTTTTTAGTTCTGTAACCTATCAGTATTTGCATGTGTATATACATATGTATGTATATGACGGGAACTTCCGCAATTCTATACACAAGCAAAGTGCTATTAAGCCACCGCACAGAAATTAGCTCAATTATGTCTTACGCTTCCACGTTGAAAAGGAATAGCCGCAGCATAAAATATTCTTAAAGAAAACATATCTAAAATAGTTTTGGAATAAGTACTTATGTAGCTGTACATATTTAGCCCACATATTTAGCTTACATAGCTAACCCCATATTTACACCTACTAAATGTTTCTAACCATCTGGCGTTCTATTTTAACTTTGCCAATTGACCGCAAAGAACTCTGGATAGTAAATTTTTTACAACTGAGGCTATTGAAAAATTTGACAACAAGAATCAAACCTTACTGGCGAGTTTGAAGGGTTTTTTGTTCTAATATTACTTCTAAGGGTAAGCACATAGTGAAGCGGCGAGCAAAACATCGAGCAAATTGTAGATTTCCACCTCAGTATATCCAGGAAACAAACTGAGCTGTTTCTTTTCGCCAAATTTGGTACCCATAAAGGAATTAGGGATGTAGACAACGCTTTTTCGGCAAATAGGGTGTGGTGCAGCAATTTAATGTGCTGAAAAATTTTAGGACTGAATGTATGAAATATTAAAGATTCGCTTCACATCTACAGTATTGGACATATCTATAGCACCCCCTTTGTTTGCCACTTATGTTTAATTATTTGTTTTTAAGAATTTTCAATTTAAATACAGTTCAATCTCTAACAAAACCCATATAAATCCATGTTTTTAAAACACCACAAAAAAGTGCAACAAACTTTCACTTAAATTTCAAACTATTTTCTCAGAAGCTCTAAAATTTTTTTTAAAACACAGTTTTATAGCGCATTCAATTTTAGGGGAAATGTTTAGTTATTGGCCCATCGTTTTTGGGGTGGGGGGCGGAAGGGGGGGAGGCGTGGCCCTCCAAACCCCCCTCATCCGAAAGGGGACAGTCGCCACTTTACGAAAAGCAACCGATTTGAAAAAAAATTAACTAAAAAAAAATTAAGGAAAAAAAAAATTAACTAAAAATATTGTGAAATTAAGAAAAAAGCGACAGATCGAAATGTTGTAGTAATAGTAATATGATAGTATTTTAGCGCAGAACTTCTTTTTGCGTAGGCGGCCTTCGGCCGCACTTAGGGATTATAACCCTCACTACGTAGAATTCTCTTCTGTGTTGCNTTTACAAAAAAGGGCATATTTCCAACCCAATTTGTAAATAAATTAGTGACCAAAAATTACAATAGTGGATGTTAAAATAATGGGTAGACCCTTGGCTAAAAGTGTGTGCAATTTTGGATCGGGTCACCCCTTTGGACGCAATACCCCGAAATAGGTGGGCCACTTACTAAACAGTACCCAATTTTAGTCCAATAATGTGCAAGATTACCGTTAATTTTTTAGATTTTTTTTGTCTCATTTGCTTCCATATAACGACTAAACACAATTTATTTTTGTATGGCAGAAACCCGCAACATCTTCGGCGAAAGAAATTCTAAAAAATCAACGGTAATTTTTAGCCACTTGAAACTTGCTTATCCTTAGACTAAAACTGAATGGGCTATAAAACTGTTTATTCAAAAAATTATACCGCTTCTGAGAAAAAAGTTTGAAATTTGGGTGAAGATTTGTTGCATTTTTTTGCGGTCTTTTAAAAAGTTGTAAACTTGAGTTTATATGAGTGTTGTGATAGAATGAACTTTATTTTAATTGAAAATTCTTAAAAATAAATAAATAAACATGAGTGGCAAACAATATCACTTTGAAATGGGGGTGCTATTGTATTGGCCAGTACTGTATATATATAAATGTGAATATGTGAATGTCTGTTTGTTTGTTACCTTATAACTTTTGGACCGGGAAGGTTATGGGCATAGAGAAAAATCGGCAGTACTGGAAAAGGGGGCGTGGCAACTCCCATACTAACTAAAATTTTCATGTTGTATATCTCTTAAAATATTTGTGGTAGAGTATTGGAACTTGGTCACGAGATAAATGAAATTAATTCCATACTCATGGGGAAAAATGGGCGGAATTGGAAAATGGGGCGTGGCACTTCCTGTAGGCGTGAAATATTTAATCGGCTATAACTTCGGAACCATAAGTCACATGAACTTGAAATTTGGTATGCAGACATATCTATGGTAGGTGCTTTTAGTAAGGTATATATATAAATGAGTCTGTAAAAGGGCGCATGGCACATGCCAAAGGCGTGGCATTTTTTGTCAGCTATAACTTCGGAACCATAAGTCACATAAACGTGAAACTTGGTATGCACACATATCTGTGGTACATAGGTGCTTATAGTAAGGTATACATAAATGAGTTTTTAAAAGGGGACGTGGAACATTTCATAGGCGTGGAATTTTTAATAAGCCATAACTTCGGAACGATAAGTCACATGAACTTGAAATTTGGTATGCAGACACACCTATGGTAGGTGCTTATAGTAAGGTATACATAAATGAGTTTTTAAAAGGGGACGTGGAACATTTCATAGGCGTGGAATTTTTAATAAGCCATAACTTCGGAACGATAAGTCACATGAACTTGAAATTTGGTATGCAGACACACCTATGGTAGGTGCTTATAGTAAGGTATATATACGTGAGTTTGTAAAAGGGGGCGTGGGTCATCTCATAGGGGTGGAATTGCATACATATCTATGTCACATAGGTGCTATAGTAAGGTATGTTTATATAATGAGTTTGTAAAAGGGGGCGCAGCGCATAACACAGGCGTTGAATGTTGTATCGCCATAAATTCGGAACCATTCGGTTTTACATTATCTTGATACGCGGTTTTGCATTTGGTTGATACGCGGGTTTGTACTTTAAACGACGATATACTATTTATTGGAGATATTTTAATGTAAATAAAAACACCTGCTGTGCCAAAAAGTTATTATTACATTTAATTACATAACGACCAAGCTATACAACTGTCCTTCAGTATTCCCCTATAGTAAAATTAGAGCAGAAATAAAATACAACATCTTTACATAAATTATTTTTTATATATGTATAAAGACGTGGGGTGAAACCCTCGGGTAAAAGCTAGTTATTAATAAAACATAACGTAATTGTATTTTTTTATTGTGGTATTATTATTATTATTAGTATTATTTAGTACTGATATGAATATCAGAACTAATACAATTATATGAGCATTGGCTGCTGAGGCCATCAGCTCTACGTTGCAGAAATGAGTTGTGTTTATATTTGTGTATGTGTCACGTAGTTTTAGTGGTTATATGGTTAAATCAATAGTTTTAACGAATCTAGCGATTTTTTCAATGTTTGTGGAGGTAGGAATTGAGAGTATTTCCGAAGTGTTCTGTGAGTCGAGTATTGCTTGTTTTGCTTCTTCGTATAGAGGGCAATCGTTGAGGATGTGTTGCAATGTTTGGAGTGAGTTACAGTTTTCGCAGATTGTTTGGTTTTCTCTTTTTAGGAGATATGCATGTGTTTGTGTTGTGTGCCCAAGACGGAGTCGAGAAAATATCCTGGTTTTAAAACCGTTTACGTTTTTGGGGTATTCCGGAGGAACAGATCTTTGTTGATGGCTGAGTAGTGAGGGTGTTGGTAGTTTTGGTATTCCGTTTTTGACTTTGCTTTTAGGTGTTGGTGGATGTGGTGTTTTATGTCAGTTTTTTCTATGCTTGAATATGATCAAGCACCTAAATCTCTCCACAAAAACAAGACTGTTGACACTTTACAACACCATATTTTCCACAGGTATCATCCCTCAAAACTGGAAAGCAGCCACTATCATCCCTATTCCAAAACCCCAAAAAAGCAACCAACTGGCTGGATCGTACCGTCCGATCTCGCTAATCTCGTGTCTTTCGAAATTTGTAGAGAAAATAATAGCCACGCGGTTGCTCTGGTACGCGGAAAAGATGAAGCTCATCTCATCCAACCAAGTCGGGTTTAGACCTGGTAAAGGATGCATTGACGCTCTGCTGCACATTGACTATGACGTCTCAAAAGCTCTGTCAACACGGAATCACACATCAATCTTATCAATTGACTTTGAGAAAGCATTCGATAGGATTTGATCCCACGTTATCCTAAAAACGCTACACCAATGGAAAGTTGGTCCGAAAATTTTCGGTTTCATAAAAGCATTTCTCCAACACCGAAAAATCCGTGTAAGAGTAAATGGCATCTGCTCTACCCTATACCCCTTGTTCAATGGCATTCCACAAGGCTCACCCCTTTCAGTTCTTCTATTCTCCATAGCTTTCAACGAACTCAATTCAATCCTCTCAAATAATGATCGCATCTCTCACTGCATATACGCAGATAATTTATATATCCTATGTAATATCAAAAACAACAATGAATCCAATCAGGTACTCGAGAACGCCCTTAAAGAAATAGATGCATGGACATTAACATCAGGAGCGAAGATATCCTTCGACAAAACAAAAAAAATACACATCTGCAAAAAGCACCAATGTAACGCAAACAACCACAACATCCAGTATACTATTCGAAACGTTGAAGAACTCCGAATTCTGGGATTAATATTCACCAATAACTACTCCTGGAATCGCCAACTATCTACACTAAAAAAAGCACTACTGCCTAGAGTCAACCTCATTTCATATCTCTCATACAAAGGATATGTGCACATTAACACCCTCATACACCTCATAAAAACAATAATCATCAGCAAAATTGATTATGGTTTATTTCTTTACGGCTTAGCTTCCAAACCCAGCATTAACACCATAAAGAGCACATATCACAAAGCTATCAGAGCTGCCCTTTTTGCCTTCCGCACTACCCCAGTAACAAATCTGTTAATCGAGTCTGGCCTACCAAAACTTGAAGAACGAATACATACTGTTCGAGCCAAACTTATTCCAAAAATACTCTTCCAAACCAACTCAATAATAGACAAAGATGCGAAAAGACTGGTGTCAAACAAGCGAGCACTAAGGACGGTCCCAGCAATATCAAGAGTGCTGCAACTCTACACCGAATACGATATTGTACCAAAACTCCGGGCAATCGATAATCACAACCCTCCTTGGAAAATTAATCAGGCGTCATACGACTGGTCGTTAAATAGATATAAAAAAGACAGTACCCCTAACTTCACCTTTAAACAACTGTTTCTACAAAAAGCAACCGACCTCAAAAAGAGCGGATGGACTATCATTTACACAGTTGGCTCCAAAACAAACTACTCAACAGCGTTTAGCGTTACGACCGAATCTGGTTCTTATCTAAGCATAAAGCAAATGATCCCTCTTTCCTCAATATTCTCTGCAGAAGCAAGTGCCATTCTAGAAGCGTTGGCGCTATGTACTCATAAAAAGCAAAAAGTGGTCATATGCTCTGATAGCCTGTCACGTCATACGAGCGGTGAGAAATCCCACCTGTAAGAACTGGGAAACCATCAACAACATTAGGGATATACTAATAAAAAACGTCAACAACGTTAAGCTACTCTGGGTTCCAGGACACGCATCGAAGGTAACTCCCACGCCGATGAAGCTGCGAAATTCGCATGTAAGGCTCCCATCGTCACCGC